TCGAAAATTATCAATCATTGTAATTGATAAATTATAAAATGTTCAGTTTTTATAGCTAAGGATTGCAAATTTAAAACAAAGGTTCTCATAAATAGTTCATACTGTAACCAAAAAATCTAAAAAATATATGAACACAGTTATTTTTTACAGACATTTTAAATTCAAATTTGGACGAAATTACATATTAAAAAACTTAGAATAACTAGTTTTGTTATTTTTGTTGTGATTGAATAATATTATTCGTGGGTACTTGAAACTTCTAAAGTGTACTATTATATATCTATGATAGTATCACGGTTTTTGTTGATGTATAACGCGTTATAAGTACCTAATGGATATTTTGATATGATTAATTTGGAATTTATTATAGGTACCTATTATAGGTCAATTTTTTTTAATACCATAGATAAGTATATATTATGTCTTATACCTAGACTGGCATACAATCTCCGTTCAGAATCGTTTTTCTTATATACAATGATATTATATCGTTGAATTCAAATTTAATATTATAGTATTATACAGTGATACACTTGTAACCTACTGTACAGCAGAGCGACACCCACTTGCCCACCTTTTTTATGTTTCCCTTTCTCATTGAAATTTAATTTGCAGTTAATTTTTAGCAATTTTAACTAGGTACCTATGCATTCCAATATTAGATTTTTAATAGTAGGTAAACTATACAAAAAAACATAAGTAACTAATTTATAACTTAGGTCTTAGGTACTATCTACCTAGAATCTTCCATGATACCTAGTAGGAACCTACCTGCTTAGTTAATAACGTTTATTTTTCTTTATTTAAAATGATAAAATATAGGTAAAAAAAATGTACGCATATGTGAATTTAAAAAATAAATAGTAATAAAATGTATCATTTTTTAGAAATCTTTCTCTTTACAAAAAAAATTAATTTTTTGTTTATTTTATCTGAGATAATTTTGCCGCCCCCAAAGTGTGCCGCCCCCGGGCAATTGCCCACCGGTGCCCCCCCTTAAAACCGGCCTTGCCCACTGCCAATACTTGTAATAACTTAACCAGCTGTGGGAACAGTTTACTTGGCTACTTGCACAAGTGCGCGAGTATTGGCCTACTTGACAAATATGCCAGTCGTCGGAACACTATATTTGTAAATCACTCGCCATGGCGATTATTCGTGTACTTGGCAAGTACACCAGTCGTGGGAATCCGGCTTTAGTTGCATTAAAATTTATAGTCATTTAAAAAATTTACCTGACATATTTAAATCATTAGAAGGGATTATAATACATATTTATTATTTTATTTTTATACGTATATTTGCAGTATATTTATTTTATTTTAGTTTTCAATGACTGATTTCATTTTAAAGTTCCAGTTACTCCAGTTTCAATAGTTTTGTCATACACTTGTTGGTAAACTAGATATAATGAACGGTATTCCTCTTCTATATCAATTTCATCTATGTCTACTTCATAAAATGGAAGGGGGCACATATAAATTGTATAATTTTAATTTTAATTAATAGTACATACAAACTATCATTTTTAAACAATAATGATTATAATAAATAATAATTAATAGTTGGTAGTATTATTCTTATTGACTGAATTTTTCATTTATATGATACTCGTAGTTACATAACAAATTGTTGACAGAAAATTGACACGGGGGCATGTGCCCCAATCCGCCACTGTACCACTGAACATAATTTTTTCAAAAAAAAAAATGTTTGTATAGTTTGCCATTTCAAGGGGCCACATTTAACAGGGAAAAAACTGTGGGTCAGCTGACCTCCCAAACCCCCCCTGGGTCCGCCACTGACACAGTGTTGTCATTTTACAGAATAATACAATAATGAAAAAACTCTTAGTAAATGCTACATTTTTGGAGTTATACGCGATTTATTTTTAAAAATATTAATTTTTGATAAAAATAATTACTTTTTCAAATAAATAAAAATAATTTGTACATTTCTGGTTTAGAAATTTAAAAAAAATCAGTTTACCAGGTTTTGTATTTATTTTTTAGAATTTATTTACATTTTACCCGTTTTTTCCACACATTAGGTGGAATATCGGCCTTTCAGAAAGGTTTAACGAAAAAATCGAGTACACTGTTGAAAAGCTTATAACATTTTGAAGTTTTTTTTTAAATTTGCATCCACCTGCTTTAAAAAAAAATATTGTAGGATAAAACTGAAATTTTAAAGTTATAAAAAATGTGTGTTATTCTTTTTACCCAAAAAATCAAGTGGGAACCTTGTAAGATATGTTTTCCTAATCCGAATATTATGAGCTTTTCATCAATGTATTCAAATTAATTGTAGTATCTATACGGTTTAGCAGATATGAGCATTAATTATGAATCAAACTTGCGTTTAACAAAAAAACACAAACATGGAAATTATCATCACCCTTATTATTGATAATTCGATTATGGTCACAACTAACAAGGACTTTGTTTGTTCCATTTGAGGTGTAGAAACACCTCTAAAAGTTAGACACATTTATGCAACACCCTGTATATAGAAATCTGTGTGACTATAATAGACCTATAAGGCTATAAACTAAAGTTTATAGGTCTATGGTGAATATTCCCCCGCACTAATTTATCTCAGGTCTGGATATGTAACTAGGTACCTTAGATTATATATCTTGAATTTGATCTCGATGGCCCTACACTTGGGTCCAACTTGTCCATATACCCATTATTATAGACAATATAGTACAGGTTAGGCGTAATAATCGACGACTCAATACCATTCACGATACCTATAATGGACAACGCAGCTGCATATTATAATAGGTATTTGCCTATACTTAGTAATACTTTATGAGTGCCGAGTGGGTATGATGTGAGGCATACTTTGGATCCCGATTTTAAGAACTAAAAGGTCCCAGTGGTGTATCTACGAGGGGGTATGGACCTTAACTTTAAATGTCGTAACAGATCTAATTTTTAAACTAACGGAGGTAAACCTAAACGTGTTTTGCCGGGTGTACAATTTGCTATGTTACGAACTTGTAAGACGGAGACAGCAAATGCCGGTGTAACGTCCTCTTAAAATACCCAGCGACTCCTTTCAGTGGTCGTTCATACCACAGTCGGAAATTCGTCAAAGTTTTAGAGGGGGCTAATATTTTAAAATACTTTATTGCATATCAAAGCCACTCTCTGCACTTGAAAATATAATATATTACCCTAAACACCATGCAAAACTAAGCATGATTTATTTTTAACACACCTACTATAGGTGTTATACATTTACTCGTACCTACATATTATAATTGAATTTTAACTTTAAATACCTATATAAACAACATAATATTAGTTAAACAAATTATAAATAAAAACAAAACCATGATATATAGGCTCGACAGGAATCTGATAAAATGGTCGATCCAACGATCGTATACGATTACAAACTATTGGTAATAATATTAATAACGTATTTTCCGACCGATCGGGTACACACACAACGGGGCACTCATTGTTCTCATGGCATGCCACCAAAAACCCATTGTTTTTAAATACTGCAGAATAAATTGTAAAAATGATGATTAGCACATCGAAAATACGATAAATATAAGTGGCAAGTGGCGGGCGTCAACCAAACCTGAGTGGCGGCAGATACGTGGGTTGTCGGGTGTCAACTAAACCAATACCATTTTTTTTTGCAAATGAATCTAGTATGACCTCTATCAATTGTTTTGGAAATATCATTTTCTATACTAATGATAGCTAAATTGTTGAATCTATTTTGCAACATAGATGACCTCAACCATGTTTTCATCATTCTTGATTCTTCTCATTGCTGAAAAACTACGTTCACATGTAGACAAACTTATGGGGAGAGTGAGTGCAACTTGCATAAGCTTATATATGTTTGGATATATATCTATAGAAAGCAATACTGCTATTGCCAGTTGAAAAATGTATGTAGTTTTTTACAACACACATTTCTGATTGAACACTTCTTATAATTTTTACATCCAGACAATAAACAATAAAAATGATATCCACAGACCACAAGTATGAACTTCATGCACAGAATAGATGAAATTTCATCTATTCTGTGCTTCATACGTGTAGACTGTAGATAACATTACACTTTCTACATATTATATATTGAAATCTCTTGATCTTCATAATATAGATTACACGTATATTATTTTGAACTTTAAAGTGTGATTTATTATAACTGGCTTACTTTTTTAAGATACAATTTAACATCGAAGATCAATCAATTTTCTTATAAAAATAATTTTATAATTATAAATCATAAGAGTATTTCATTGTTAATCATCACTAGGTACTATAATAAAATAATAGATAAATAAAGAGTACAAAGTGATATTGCAAATTAATTATAACACAGAATGATTTTTTTAGTGATTTTTTTTATTTTATACAATCATGCATATTTTATTTTGAACACAATATTTTAGGTACTTTAATGCAAAAACTACATTCAATGTTTCAGCATTGTGGTTAATAATCCCAAACCTCATTTATTTGTTATTATTTAATTTAAATATAAGTCTACATAAACCGAACGAAAACTTAACACCTTTAATGCACTTATGTAATTGTGTAAACAATAGAAAATAGGTCTTTATATTTTAGATACAGTCTCTAAATACAAAGAAGTTAACATTTAACCAAGGAGAAAAATTACTAGAAAGGGATTTTATTAGAAACTCATAAATACCTTTTATTTAAATGATTTTATTAGTATTTTAAATGGTTAACATCACATTATATCAATCAGGCACTAAATGTAATCAAAAATATTATAACTTGGTTTAATCATTTTTTGTAAGGTATTTATAAGTTTCATTTAAAATGTAATGTTAAATTAATTTTTTTAAATAATAGATACATAATTTCAGCCAAAAAATAATAAAAAGTTATACAAGTTTTAAAAAATTAAAACTAAAATTGACTGAAAAATAAAAACAGTCTCGAAGAGGATGAATATTTTATATTAACTTTGTTAAAAACTTTTGACAACTGTCAAAATTTTAATATTTTTGCAAATAAGGAGGCCATTGCTTCATTTTTATTTCCATTGAATCTTTTTAATTCTTGAATAACCTAAACAAAAAAAGATATATTTATATTATAATATTTGAATTATTTTCAGTATACAACCTATGTATATTTTATGATATTATTTATTAGGGTAGGTATTAGGTAGTTAGTTTTATTGAATTACAATATCATTTATAAATAAACATAAAATATGATATTGGACAGTAGCATATTATATCATGACAAATCATAATGGGTAGTTGTCATTTGCAACTAGTTGACATTTGACATGGTGTTATTTAGATGCAGCAATAATATTTATTAAGCTGTACTACCCAGGTCTTAGCCCGGGAAAAAACAAACAAATATAAAATACTGCAGTTGGTATATTTTAATTTATATAGGCGTGGCTAATCATTATTATTATTATGGAGTGGCAACAAACAGTAGAATAAAATAAAACAACATGTCAATATGTAAAATATTGAATTAAATTGAGTTATGACGGCCATGATGGTAATGAGACCAGTCTGAGAATAAGTCTTTTGAAAATTGTTTAAAAGTACTGCAATAGGCTTATAAGTTATAGGTGTATATGAGGTTGGGACATCTGGAAGTTTATCAGACTTGGCAAATTTTTTAAAACATAAACCTAAAATTTCAATATTTTTAACCTGGTCGGGTGGCACTGCTGTGTGCCAGCCCAAAATTTCAAACTCCAATTTATCAAATTTACTCATTGTACTAATTTATTGTATTCTATATTGTAACTAATTTGTTAAATAAAATAAAAATAAATATTTTTAAACATATTTTAGAGATACAATTCAAACAAATTTACCCAATTGTACCCATTTATAAATTATCAGTTTTTTTTTGAACTGTGAAATCTATTAATTACTTTATGATAAATGTATCAGTGTTTAAATTCATTAGATTGTATATAAATCTTTGAATTTCTGTGGATATTTTTCTTAAGAATGTTAGTTAAAACACTCAATTTAATTTACCAATTAGTAGTTTTTTTTTCAAAATTGTTTTTAAAGTATTTATAAACATTGAAAGTTGTGGTACAAACGCACACATTTTTATATAATCGGATAGTTTTTTTTTTAATTTTAAAATTATATAGTTACAAGTTGATTTTATGAAACCAAAATATATAATATACTAGGTATATTATGCCTAGAATTTATATACTAGTATCTGAGACTTTAATATGCCAAAATATTATAAAATTAGTAAATTGTTAGTTATTGACACTGGTCAGTATACCTTATCTTACCGACAATAGTCAAGCATCTAGAAACAGCGATTATTTTATATTTTTAACCATATTTAATTATAATTTACCTGCTCTCTAGAAAATCCTAAGTTGATCAGTTCTATAATATCAGTTTCTTTAAATGATTGACTAGAATTACTGCTACTACCTAAAAAAAGACAAAAAAAAAAGATAAACTATAAAAAATGTTATTGGATGGAATATCTTTCTAGGATAATACATTAAATATTTAGCACAATACATATTTACAATGAAGGAATTACTATTACAACTACCAGTATCATCATCATAAGTACTAACGTATACAGATAGGAAAGAAAAAGGTACCTGGAAATATTAGGAAATTTGTAACTTGGACAAAGTAGGCATCTCTTCTCCGGTTGTCTAATTAATTATAATATTTATGTACTTTATTGTAAAAAAAGAAGGTTAAGTTCATTTAAAAATAACTAAATAATTACCACTACTTTGATTCATTTTTTTGCTTTCATCTATAGCTTTTTTTAGTTCTTTTTCTTCTTTTTTAGATCCATCATAATCACTAGATGTAGTTAAACGGCCACAATCTGGCAATTCATTTTCAGGCAAAAATGGAGTTTCAGTCCCTGTTGTTCCAATCTTCAAGACGTTATGTTTTAGGTCTATGCAACACTAATAATTTAAATAAATATATCTAAATTATTTAATCATTTAAAATGATTGTTAATAACAATATTTTACCATATAAAAAAAATTATAAGAATATAGAAAAAATAAAAGCAAATACATGGATATAACCAGCATACAGAATGCCGAACTAGCATGTGTTGTTTCCATCTTACAAAATATTTACAATATAGCAAATTTGTATTCAAAATATTAAATAACCAATTTTGTGTTGTTAACTAAATTAGAGTATATATTCTCTAATTAGCCTATAATTGAATTTAATGGAAATAATATTATCTAGGGCATTGTCTAAGCTTCTATTAATATTTCAATTTTAAAGTGAGTTATGAACATTTTTAAATTGTAATATTTTATAATTATAACTCACTTTAAAATTAAAATATGAATAAAACCCTAGGCTTAAGATATTGTTTTTAATATAACTTATAACTTTGATAACAGGTCAATACACACTAATATTAAAGCTAAAAATACAAAATGTGTTCTCTTGAATACAAATTTGGAATGTGTATGTGAATAAAATAAGCTAAGAACAGGTGATGAGGTGTATATGTTGGGGATTAAAAGGAGAATAGGTGGTAGAAAAAATGTTCATAAAATGGAATTATTATGGAATATATAAATATGCATAGTTTTTACCTGATGCCTTTTTAACATGTCTAATCCAAGAAGCATGTCCATTGGCTGATCTTCAAGAACAGAAAAACTGGTTGTTAAAAAATCATTTTCAATTGCAACTTGGACCATATGTATCCTGCCAATAATTTTCTGTACACCAACACCTTTAGCTATCCCAGCCCATCTATTATCAACTAAACGCATGATGTTGCATCTTTCAGCACAAGCGGATGACATTATAGTAGTTTGAGCTCCAGAATCAATAAAAGCTTTCACAGGATATCCATCCACTTTACAATTGATATAAAGCATGACAACTGTTCCAAACATTTCTGGATTATATTCCATAGCGGCTTCCATGTTAGCTTCAACGTTTTTTTGACGTATTTCTTCTGCTATTAATTTTTGTGCTTCAGAGTCAAATGGATGAGCTTTCATCATTTTAATTCTTTGGTCTTCCCTCTTATTTCGTTCTTCCATTTGCTCAGCCATGACTTTTGAAAATTCTTCTGTAGAATAAATTAAAAATTAAATTTTTATACTATTAATACTCTCATTTATACATTTATACATTAAAAAATCATCAATTTTATTTTTAAAAAGTAGTATAAATATAGAACTAGCTCATAATTAAGTCCTATTAGAAATTGCGAGATGTTATTTGTTTCAAGACAATAACTGGCCCACACTTTTAATTACAAACAATACCTCCTTTGAAATGCATCATAACTTTATGGTTCTTACTATCAACTTTTGGAAGTCCATAAATAGGTATTGCCATTTGAAAATCGAAAGTTGATAGCTTTTTATCAAATAAGGGAGGAAGTTAAAATTATAAAAATTATAACACAATGTAAAACAGTAAAATCTAGAAAGTTAAAAAAAAAAATTATTTTAAAATTCCTAATACTTCCCGAGATATTGACTGGTTCATGATAAAAGAATCAACCTGTATACGTATAACATTATGTAATAATATCAAATATTATATTCTAACCCGTAGCTCTAGAGCCCGTAAGGTTGAATGTTGATTTAATTTAATATACATCATACAGCGTACTGAATTTTATTGAATATTTATTAAATTTGGCCCCGTGTGTTGTTGAGTTACAATAACTAGTTCTCATCATTTACGTATAATGGTACCTATCTATTATAATACTCAAGGCTGGGCATTAATAAGTTAATAAGTTAAAGTTAAAAAGTTAAGTTACTTTTAACCAAGATAATTAACGAGTTACTTTTTTTTTTTTAGAAGTAAACTCTAACTTAACGAGTTACATTTTCCCCATGGCATGTTATTCAGTAACTTAAGGAGTTAATTCATTTTATTGGCTCGTAAAGTTAATTTTATTACAAACATGTATTTAAAAATTGTAAGACATTTATTGGTTTATTGAATGACTATGTTATTTGTTGGCTTTAAAAAAGGTAGGTAGGTATAATTATTAATTTTATTTAAAAAAAAAGAAAGTAATTTATTTTTAACTAAGTTAAGTTACTTTTATTTTCTATATTAACTTAATTTAACGAGTTAAAAAAAATTTAGTTAACTTGCCCAGCCTAGATAATACTGAATAATTAAGGCCTTAAATTTATTATTAAAAAGTGCCACTAACTACTGACCAATTTTGTTTGAGGACAATGCATCTGCAAGTCTGGGATTATTTTGCTTAAGAAGAGCTAGTTGTTCTGGACTGGAGAGAAATAAGTTCCTAACATATTCTGCATCCTGCATTTGGTGTTGTCTGTTGGTTCCTGGGTTATTGCTATTAGACGAACCAGGCACTTGAATACGGCTAAAGTCAAATTGTGGTAACATATCTAAAGTACAAAAATAATTACAGATATAAGGTCCAACATCATATTTTTTTTTGCACATGCATACTGCTATTGCTTGGACTGCTAAATGAGTGATCCATTGGAGTAGCGGTACTCGCAACCCTTTGAATTATGATAACGTCTCCTTCACGAACACCTAAGTTTTTCATCGTACTAAAATCGTCTACCAAAAGCTGACCATTGTGTGTTAGTCCAGTCTCCTGTGATGGAATTCCAGTTTCCACTTCACATAGTGCTTTGAAATTGATTAGTTCTAAATCCTCGCTTACATCAAGCACAATCAAGTTGTCGCCGTGTGTCGTGACAGTAACCTTCATTGTGAAAAAATTTATAAAATTTATTATTTCCTAACACGTAAATGTAATCTAACATAAAATTGTTTAGTGTTCAGTGTTTACTATTATCTAATATTTATTTAGATCTAACTTAAAATAATTTAAATAAAGAAAACCACCCAGTCATTCTTTGTTATTGTTGTCATGGCCACAAGCTTATCAGAATGAATTTGCTGCAACGTAGTTGTAAAATGACAATTTTTCACAGTTAGAAAAATGTAAAATATTTTTTATAGAAGTTACAACAATAGTTAAAATAGAATGTAAGTATGATTAATGTTGAGAAATCTCGTTCGTGTTTCAAATTTTAATCCGTTTCCGAATAAAAAGTCTATATTTTCACAAATAATTATTTCGAAGAATTTCATTTTTGATCACGAATAAAGATATTCGTGTTTTGGATACACTGTCTTTAATCATAAGAAAAAAAAAAAAAAATTGACATTCATCGAGGAGATAACATGACACTGGGCCATATGATTTGAGATATAATTTTTCTACAAATTTTCACAAATTTCGAGAGTTAAAACATTCATCAGACCAGTTCTTTACTTGCTCCACGAGTTATAGCCTAGCGCAGGGTGAGTTTTTTGAGATTTATTTCTATATATTATTCATAAGGTAATGTACGTGTTAAAATGTATAACCGATATTTCAGATTAAACATGTTGTCGTTTAATTTATTACAAAAATTGAATGTCGCCGGATCGGCTGGTCGATTTGCTCGTCGCAACATATCGGCCACATCGGTGTTGATGACCAACGTTTCAGATCCAATCCAAAAACTGTTCTTGGACAAAATCCGAGAGTACAAAGGAAAATTTGATTCCAAGACGTTCGACCCTTCCATTGATAAGGGTTACAAGAATGATTTAGAAAAGATCGGCAGACAATACAACATTGCGCCGAATGAAGATCCTACCAAATTCCCAACAATTAAATTCGATGAACCCAAAGTCGATCCACAAGTTTGAAGATAATACATTTTATGTTTTTATATAAGATATATATAAGTAGTGATGTAATTATGCAAGAATAGGATTAAGAGACGGTGAAGTCATTAATAAACATTGATTTATAAAGTTCATTATTGTTTAATAATTCAATATAGTAATACACATTTTACAGTTACTGATATATTTATTCATTTTATTTATTAGTCTTATTTAAAGTTAAAAAATCGTATCAACTGTAATAGTATTATCCAATAGGATTATTGAATGAAACGTATAGGATATAGATGTTTAAAGGTCTTTATAATTGGTTGTAAAAAAAAAAAAGGTCAATGGTGTTGGAAGTTAGGTTAGGTAAGGATAGTGTATTATTACAGTATTTGATTTGAATACAATGATGACACTCAATATAAAACGTTCTTAGCGAAAGATCAGTACAACCGTTTTTAGTGGTTATTTTAAAATTGTATTCGTTTCTATGGTGATAGACTGGTATCAGAAAAAAATAGCTTGGCAATAGGCTATTTAGGTGGTTTTTCCCATGGTGCTGGAAAAAATTATTGAGAACAATGACCTTTCTAAAGTACCACATTGACCCAATTTTCTAAAATATAAGATGCTATATGTTAAAATCTAAGCACTCCTTCTTTAAGATATTTTTTTACAGGATAAAAAAAAAAGTAAACATTGTAAAACCACTAGCTTCCTCGCTCCTCTCAGAACCTAAAAAAAGTTAGTATTTACCTAAATATTATAAACATTTTAATATAACTAAAATATTAATATTTAATCCACTAATATCTGAATATGTTTTGGCTGGTTACAATGATGGAGGAGTAGAAATACTGCTGTCTGTGAACAAAAATCATAGAAATAAAATATGAGGTATAAAGTAGTAATAGAGTTTATTTACAATTAATTAAGTTATCAGGCCAGGGTAAACTTCTTTCTTGAGTAGTAATTTGCTTTAATGATGCCACAATTTTTGCTTTCATTGGTAATTTTATGCTATTTATGTAACATAAGTTAATCTGAATAGCTAATGAATACCTTAAAATCCAATTTCATAAATAATTTGAAATTAACTACACGTACATACTGCAGGGTATTTGTTGTTTCAAAAATATGTGCAAAACTACTATTAGAAAAAAATATATTAAAAAGCCTCAATCGAAGAATATGGGTCCAGGTCCCAAATATGTAAAATAATATAATTATATGCTTGTAAATGTGTATAAGTACAAGTGAAAAACAAGGTACATGAAGTATTGTAGGTTCTATTAGAACCATAAAGTATAACATGTTTTTGTAAATTAAGTATTAACGTTAGATCATATTATACAATCATATAATTGGGAAAAATATATGCTGGTACAACTGGTGACTTGTCGCTAACATGTACATCAAAATATTGATCTGCGGCTCCATCCATTGTATATGATCTAAGGTATTAATTATAAGTAAAGACCGGATTTATATGTTTTTACATATCGTTACTGGGTCTATGCAGTCTTATGAGAGTTCAATTCTGAATGCGTAGAAAAAAGTTTTTTTTGCATATTTGAGAATATTTCATGGGTTGGAGAATAATTAACCCATTTAGCATATTTTGGAATATTTCGTAAATTATGAGCAAAAATTTGTATTTATTTTTATTCATTTTAATATTACGGTACTCTGAAAACATTTTTTTGACCATTTACAATTTATTTATTCATTTTTTCATTTTGATAAAAATTAAACACGCAGTATTATCAAGGTTTATCTATGTATATCTACTGATAAGATCAACTTATAAGTTTATCAAATATTCAAATATCAAAATTTTGTTTTTGTGTTTTAATATTATACGGTTATATTTATATTATATTCCAACTTCTTACTCTTGCTAAAGTGCAATACTATTCCATTATTTATAATACGCAACTCTTAATACCTAATTAATATCTCACTATAAAAATATAGTTGAAAATACAATTTTAAAAAATAAATGCATATTAAAGCATAAAATGATGTTTTTTGATTAATTTTGCATATTTTTTAAATTATTGAGAGAATATAATGAGAATATTTGAAGGTTTTTTAGAGAATATAAGCATCATATTTTGGGTATTTTAAGAGAATATAAATCCGGTCTTTAATTATAAGCTAATATAAATTAAAAAGAATACTTGAAATAATATCAATGGGCCCCAGTAACTCTGGCAGATTTATTTATACGTGCTCTTTTCTAAATGAATTATGAAGTCAATACAAATTTTATATGTAGAATTTTGATCATCTGCGACATATATTTTGTGGTAGTTGGAGAAAAAATTCTTAGTAGAATTTTACTAGCTAAGTATAAATAATTTATAAGAATAATTTTTAAATTATTATTTATTATTCTTATATCATAAGATCGAAATTCAAAATACAATGTAATGTATAAAAGTACAAATACGATAATTAAATTGATAGTAATAATAATAATACAAATGATACAATAGTAAAATAAAAATAATATAAAAAAAATTCTATTCACATAATTACTAAAAGATTGCAAGGTAGTAAAGTTAAATAAATCAACTTTTGTTACGTTTGTTAATTACATCATTCTAGGCAAGGTTAAAGCATAATTTCTTTTTTGTAAAAATACATAAAAATTGTAGTAGACCTAGTTCTACACTGAGGGACATCAAAATTGAGAAAACTAAATAGTTCTGGACAATCTACATAACCATTTACAAATTTAAATAAAAATGTTAAATAATTTATTTTTCTTCTCTCTTGTAAACTAATAATATGAAAAAAAAAATACTGATAATAATGGCTAGTAAGGAGAATGTGGCTCACGAGCAAGGACGGATTTGGCCACCGGGAATTCGGTAATAAGTGACATCATTTCATTTTTACAGGAGAGATTATTTCCGTTCAGTCACTGAGGTTCAATAATTTTCAAAACCAATAAAGATAAACTACCATTGATTTTAGCTGGGGATATCAATGTAAACTTTGCAAAAGATGAATCAATGCCATTAATTACGTTTCTCCAAGAAGAATTTCAATTATAAATTAATAACAATCCAAGAGAACCTACCACCAGATACGGAACAACAATAGATGCTGTATTTATTAGATATCTTGATAATGTTATGTCCAATACTTTTGTAACATACTTCAGCTACCATCGACCAATTGTCACAGTAATACCATCGTCAGAGGCAACATCGTATGTCACTATTACCGAAGTCACTGATTAAACGAATTAAGTAGTCACGATTTGAAATAAATTCGTAACTTTTTGTATTTAATGAAAATAAATGTTTATTAAACAAACAGTCATCATTATCTGAAAAAAAATCGTAATATTTTATTTTATCATTATGATTTATGACATATTTAGTTCCTATCGCAATCTGTTCTTTTCTGCATATTACTTTTACAAAATAATGTCGATGTTTCACATCTGCCAGGCGTCCCGTGACGGCTTATTTTTAAATTATATTTATTTATTAATAGCAAATACATTATATTTGTATGGCAACAATATTTTTAATTAGAGCTAAATCAAAATCATAATAATATGCGTACATTGTAGGTACCTAATATTTTGTAAGTCAATTAAATATTAAATTTTGTTAAATATTATTCATTCTTTAGAATAATTTTTATACTCTGCACGATCTCTCTATTAGTAAAATCTGTGTCAGAATACCTATAGTTTTTATAAAGTTGTGTTTAATTTGATATTTTTATCTTATACGTATGAATAGGTATGAGTGGCTCCGAAGTCCATGCGGCCGGCCATATTTAATTTACATCATAACTTTATTATAAGCATGAGTAAATTTAAATCGTGATTATGAATAAATGTATGTTAGGGTACCTCTATATTAAATAATTAAGATATTGAAGCCGGGGAGTTTTAAAATTTCCCTACCAAATTTTAAAAACTTCGGCTCCACTGAGTAGGTATACAACTATAGGCATAGTTATAGACTATCTGATAATCATGTAATCAGGTATTTGTATATTAACGTTTTGACAAAAGGTTGAAGGGAAATATTTATTACTTATTAGTAATAAATAATAATTACATGGTATTTTAATCTTTTTATCTACAATAATGACTCCTGGTCTTTCCGATGACATATAATTAGATAGGTATGACTGTATGAGGTATCATCACAGTAGTACTAGTTTTGGACAGTATGCGCATCTCCTACACTTCCGTCTAATGTCATTGTTCTCCACTTGAGAACAGTTGATTTTGTTCTATGTTATATATGCATGTATACTTTTGACAGCCAATAAGAAGTGGAGAACTATAGTATACGATATATGCGAAGTAAAGAGCGGACGACGAGCCTCAATAAACTGTAATGATTTTAGATTGAGTTAACTTAGTAAAACTGTGAAATTCACTCACACGAGAGGAAAGTTTTGTTTTTAATTTTTTATTTAAAAATCCATAAATATTAACAAAAACCAAGCTGAAATAAAACCATACCAATATTTTAGATGTTATTTTTTTCACAAATATGTGATTAATAGATATAATTAAATGAGAAACTATTAATAATATATTATGAAACTATTTTAGCATAGGTAGGTATTAAAATATTTAATGCTTAATAGTCAATAGTAAGATTAAATAATATTTTATTTAATACTATTAAGGTGATTCATTTCAATAACATTTTCTTTAATCTTAAGTCAAAAAATAACTTTAAATAGGTACTCGTAATTACAAAATAACTACAAACAAATTTTTATTTAAAAAAACAGTATAGTGATTAGAATAATAAGGTTTAGAGATTGCCAGAACCTACAATAGAAAATTAAAAACTTCTAAAATAGCCATTTGAAAATTATACAATATATAATATGGAAGATGCTCATAAAAAATGTTCCCTCATTTTTTTGTCGTTTTTCCTAATATTATTATTCAGAAAAGAACTTTTAATTTTCTGCAATTTCGCCCTTTAAAATATCCAGTACCATAACTAGATGCAACTTGATCTGAAATCATCCCCAAT